AGCAATGCCTGAGGCTATCATTAGCAGCCTCCTTGCTGGAAGTGATGTTGGGCAAACAATCGGGATCGTCAACTTGACCCCGTACGACGGCCACTTGGAGATGCACGTCATCAAGAGGCCCCGGACAGACCCCGGGCATGCCTTCCGAACTCTATCTCTCAGCACTGGTCTCGTTGTCAGTCAGCACACAGAGAAAACATGTGCGATGCATTTGTTTGAGGACAGGTGGGCTCCACGACCAAATGGAAAACTTCTTTGCCTGGATTTCAACCATCTCCAATTGTTTTTTACATGGTGACCCTTAACTTCCATGTGTTCTACAAAGCCAGCTGGCTAATGAAACATATCCTGCCCTCTGGTGCCAAATTTAAGTTGAAGGTTCAATGGTTTTGTGGGTGTCTGAACATTGTTTAAGCTCCAAAACATGTGGAGGATTGGAAGGCTGGCGGCAAGACCATGGGCAATGACATCCGCCCATACGACCCTCAGCCGCCACCGCCAAAGCCAGTGGACATCAATGATTTCCCTTTGAAGCTGGCCCAGTTGTCTGTCGATCGCAGCTTGAAAGGACTTCGGAAATACAAGGTGGAGCTCCCGAATGCAGTGAGAGCCTCACACATTGAAGACCCAGTGAATGGAGGTGCATGGAGGGGTTTGATCCTTGACTTCGACAAAAAGCTGCCAGGTTGTATGCCAAGCATGCTTTTGTTTTCGTGAGCTGTACATATCCGCGAAAGACCTTTGTTGGGAAGAAAGACAGCTCAATGAAGAGGGTTGTACCACTTAAGACAGGGTTTTGTGTCCAAAGTCCCAACCAGGTTTTGTGGGGGCCCTGTGACCACTTCTGATGCAGAAAGCCAGCCAGCACCGCCTCTTGAAGATGTGGCGCCACAGCCCTTCGCCTCAGAACCAGAAACTCTGGACCAACTGCTCGAGCTCTATGTGGTGGAGAACAAAGTTCCAGCACGTGACCCAGGGTGTACTCTCATGCTGACATCTGCAACACGAAGGGATGGCAGCAAAGTGGAGATGGTTGATGGCCAAAAGCTGAAGCTCTGGCTAGCATCTTGGTTGTATCATATCTTGAAATGTGTTTATAGCTGACATACTCAGAACTGAATAATATATGTGGCAATGGGCTTCGTATTGCCTCAGGGTGTATTCACTAGCTCATGGTGTAATCTAATGCCTGATTTGCTCTCTTTCATTCATACTATGGCTTAAACATATCAGTTAGTTAATGACATCCGTTTCCTGCACATGTCTCCATTCCAGGTATCTCACCAGGAAAAGGACATTGGCGTCGAAGAGTTCCAAATTGCCCATGGCAAGTCGACCTGGCTCAAGCAGGAGAAGGTTCAGAAGCTGCTGCGCGAGAGCGCTGGAGGAGTATGGGAGTTGAACCTGTCTCTTTCTCCAAAGCAACCATTGTCAGTTTCTAGCATGTTCGCCCATGAGTTTTGGCATCTATCCACTTTGCTGCACTTTGCTTGCGTTCTGTTTATCTTCCAGCAAGGCTTACAAGCAGCAACAGTTAGTGCTGTACTGTAGTGCTGGTAGCTTCAAAGTTTAGCCATGACCACTCTGGCTGATGTTCTGGCAAGTCATGGACTGAAGCAGGACAGCTAAGGGGGACAGGGGGCTTTGTCTGATTCATTCAGTTGTTGGGTTATTCTATGTATCCCTTGGCTCTTTAGTTGCGATCAGGATCATTCTCTGTAGCCCTTAGTTCCTCTAGACCTATAGGGGCTTTATTCAACACATTGACATGCAATGCAATCGCAAGGATTTGGACGCGATGCTGAACTCCAGTCCTTCCGCACTTCAAACTCCACCAAGCCAGGTCGTGTTGGCCTCAAATACCAGGTCGTAGATTCCTGCCAGGCTTACTTTTCATGCTGTGACTATTCATGTTATTTGAGCCTCACGTTGTTTTGGGCCCTGGGTAACAAAGATATAACACAAAACGCCTGTCTGATTGGATGCTTTAAGATCTCGGTGTAAGTATAAGCCACCTCAAAGCCAACTTCTCAAGTTTGTATGTTACTCAATGTCAGCCTCACTACTTTGGCTTGGATCGAATTGTTTTATGGTTTGACTTTGACCAAATCCCATCTCTGCTAGGTCCCGAACCGCACTCCACCGAGCATCTCTGCGACTGGTGCTTCTGCGGGGAAACCCAGTCCTCCAGCCAGAGCATTGCCATTCAATTCCTCGGAAGCTGGTGCTTCTGGGAAGATGACTGCGGAGAAGCAATCAGAGTTGAGAGGTGAAGTCTCTGAAGCAACAGCACAGTTGAACCAAGAAAAAAAGAATGCTAAACTGGCAGCCAAAGCTGTCAAGAACAGGCTTGCTGTTCCAGAAACGGGGGGAGGTTCTGACGAGAAGAAAGGTAAACAGGCTCGAGGTAAGGCTAAGGCTAAAGCCAAAGCCAAGAGTGCTTCGGCAAAAGCGAAGTCTAGGGGTCGTTCAAAGCCTGCGGTTCCTGAAGGGAACAAGAAGGGTGAGGGTGAGGAGCATAACACCAGTGATGTGAAGAAGAGGAAAGCTGCTGCCAAATCACAGGCTGGGTAAACCCATTCATTCTCAAACTTAAACAAAGATTACTTTAGCAATGGTTTCCACTGATTATTTGATTGGTTTGGAGTCAGTCATTGTTCATCACACCAATCAACAAACCGACCCCTGAGACTGCTAAACCGCGTGCTCGGAAGCCTACCAAACCTGAGAAGGAGGAGCCTGAGGAGGCCAATGATTATGTTTGTCTGTGTTTGCATTGGTTACTGTCTCCTGCCTGAGACTCCTATTGAACCTGTACCTGGACATGTCTGCCTGCCAGGAGGACATCTTGGACAGTGAGGAGGAATTGAACAGTGAGGACAACGGCGGTGAGAGTGATGCTACAACACGTGTGTTGGGAGACTGGGACGATGAGACCGCTGAGTGTGCCAAGAAGGGCAAGGGCAAGCGTCAGGCTGACCAGAAACCTAGTCAGGGTACGCAGGAAGCATCCGAAACTATGCGGGGCACCTATTGGCAGGTGGTTCATGAGGCACAGAAACGTATCAAGAAGGACAACCCCAAGATGTCGGCCAAAGAGGTTCTCAAGCTTGCGAGGGAATCGTAGTCTGGTCGCACAGAGAAAACTCAGAGACCTTTTGCTCTAATTAATGAACTTTAATGAACTTAATGCACACATTGGATTCTGTGTGAGCGCAATGCGTTTTTGTTCCATGTGTTGAGCGCCTGTGTTGAGGTGGCTGACTCACCCCCTTCGAGTGAATGCCATGAAGCACATGAGCCCATCAGAATTGAGCCGAAGGCGCATGAGGCCTTCAAAAAAGTGAGGGCTGCTGAGTAAGCCAGTGGGGATGTGATCCCTCCCATCCAATTTACACACTCTCCAAATTCGAGCGCCATGCAATGCACGCATGGCTACCGAGTGTGGGATGGAGTGGGTTTTGAATAGTTGATTGATAGAAGGCCTGGTGGGGCTGCTTAGGCGACACGATCCATCGAGCAGGGAAAGAATAACCCACCTAGCTACATGCTTTGAGATGCAGTTTACTTTGACCTGCTGTGCAGGCTGTTGACCTTGCAAGCTCAAACACTTAGACTTGACTTGCTAGTCTAGTCTTTGATACTGGCTGACAGGAGACGGAGCACTTCAGTATGTAATCCCAGCCCGGTTTGCAAACGATCTATGCAAGGTTGTCCTAGAGATGCAGAGTGAAACCTCCAAACAGTGTACTGATGCTGCACCCTGCTCGTTGAGAGACCTCGTACACGAGCTCGAAGACGAGGGTATGATTGATACTACTCTTCATGGCCATACTCTAGAGCGACCAGCTGTGGAGGCTGGTGATGGCACCTTGCAAAAGCTATTGTTCACACTTGCTCACACTTGCTTTCAGGGAGGGTGTGGCTTCCATCTATGTTCTATTTACTGAGGAAAGGATTTCCTTGTCGTGAAGGCCACCACCCCGGCTATGTTCCAATACACGCCTGGTGTTGGAAATCTCAAATTCACTTCGTTGGCCAGTGCTTTCCCGGTGGAGGCTGGGGTGGTTTGATGGGATTGGTGCTTTTTTAAGCTCTCCTCACACATCCTCACACCTAAACCTCAAAACTTAGGAATGTCGCTCGGCTAGGTCTTAGATGCCACTCCGACATTGTGCCGCCACTGGCGAGTGGCCTATCAGAAGGCTGAGAAGGACACTTTGAATGATGTTTTCTTTTCAATCATACTCTCTTTCATGTCCATCGACTGGCCCTTCCTGGCACTAACCTTCCACATCCTTCTGCCAAGGAGCTCATGCCCAGACTCTTGTCAGCAAGGGCTGCCCATGGCCAATTTCAAACAGTGGAAGCTGCAGAAATTTGTCCTTATTCTCTTAATGCAGTCCTTATTCTCTTGCATCCAGTCTCTTGTGAACGCTGGTTTACTCTCAAACATCGACCAAACGTGGTTAAAACATCTAAGGGAAACCGCTCTACTTTCTGCGGGAGAACCATTCCTTCAAAGCGAATGGTGTGTTGCGATTGATTTGATCGCACGGACGTTTTGTAGTGAAAGCTTAGCTTCAAGGGAAAGCTTCGAGGGAAGGCTGCTTGAGTGTTCCAAAGGTTGGACATTGGTCATGTGAAAAGAAACACATGATCACAAAAGGCTACAGGCCATTCAAGCAGCCATGGGTGAAACCTTTCCTGGAGATCTGGCACGTGAGACCATGTGCAGTGTGGCGAGAAAACGTATCGGATGAATCTGTGATCGCACGTTCGGGGGTGGTGGGATGTGTGCATGCCTGTCAATGCTTCTAAATCTCACAAACATGTCCCTCGAATACAATGAAATTACCCTCGAATGCAATGAAACTTACTTAGTGCACATCGTAGACATGTGCGGTGAAACTGCCCAAATTCTTGGGTGAACTGAACCGTGCACCATGTTTATCGCTGATTTACATGCCACGAGCTGGAGCGGTGAACGGACCATGCAGGTGCAGCTTCTTCGATTCTGAGCGGGACGAGACGGTGAGACCGTGAGAGGCGCCAGGGTTGCGACCGTGATATGATACCAGGTCAATGGTCCTCTAAAATGAGAAGCACTGGCCTAAAAAGAACTGCCAAAGAACTTGTGCTGGGGGCTGGGGGTTGTACAAAAGCCGTCATGTTGTAGAGATGTGGTATGTAGATGCAACCTGTTTTCTACACATCGGAGTTTGGGGCTACACTTCTGGGATATTCTGGGATCCATAACTACAACTGTGCAGATCATGATCCCGTGGTGGTTACGTCGCGGTGCCGATGCTTTCATGTGCAAAATGATTGGGTGTCGGTCAGGGACCTTGTCGTTGATGGACACTGCAGAGCGGTTGCAAACTGTGTCCTCATATTCGTCCTCGCTCCGATGCTCCGTTGCTCCGCTCCGATCCGTCCAACAAGAACAACAACAACAAGAAAAACAATAACACAAACAAGAACAAGAACAAGATCAAGAACAACAACAACAACAAGAACAATAACAAGCGCAAG